ATTTTGTGAAATACGTCGAAATATTGGAGGAAGGACTATTGCCACTTTATTCCTCGGGTTTCGTGGACAAGAACACAATGTTGTTCCAGGAAGATGGAGCATCGTGTCACACTGGTAGAAATACCCAAAAGTGGCAGGAAGAAAATGGTATCCAGAAGTTGCCCTGGCCGAGACAATCTCCTGACATGAACCCCATCGAAAACCTCTGGGCCATACTCGACCGGTAAGTCAAGAAACAACAACAACAAAAAAAAACAACTCCGAAGAGCGATCTACTCCAAGTTTTGAAGCAAGAGTGGGAGAAAATCCCACAATCTAAAATTGATGAGATGATTCTCACGATGACCCAAAGGATCAACGAACTCCACGAAGCGAAAAGAAGATCTACTAGTTATTAATTAAATTATAAATATATCAATTCATGTGAATATGACTGAAAAATTTCATTTTTTTTCTGAAAAGGTGGTGTCTATTTGCTTGTGACCACGCTGTGTAGCTCGGTTAGCAAACCAGTGTTGTATATCGTTGTTTAAGTTAAAAGCCGAAATACTAAATTTACAATAGTATCCAGGTGAATAACTACATTCAAATTTTGTTTTTGATACACGAAGTCAGTAATCATCTTGTTTCCAAACTCAATTTATATTTCTTAATACAGGTTAAGATCGTGATTCAAAACTTATTTTTCATTCATTTTTTACCAACAAAGACATTATTTCAGAAGTTATTTTCAGCTCGTCACTAAGGTAAAAATCTTGTTTCAGTATATCAGTTTATATTGAGTCATCCAGATATGAGAACTCCGCTTACAACAACCACTTATTCAGTTGTTGTCGAATGTTTCTTAATTATTTCACTGACATATTTGTAGATAAACAACTCTCCCAATATATATACACAGAAACAAGTGTAGGGTTCTTCCTATATTTGATTATATTTCTCTTATTACTTATCTTACCAACATCATTATTTTTAGATAATTGCCTGAAATATTCCAAAATTGATTATGTTATCAGGCTGTAATAAGTCTTATATGAAATAATACGGCATTTATGATGTTTTAATTAATTGTAGTGCCCGGCATGGCCAGGTGGATAAGGCGCTCGACTCACAATCTGAGGGTCGCGGGTTCGAATCCGCATCCCACCAAACATGTTCGCCCTTTCAGCCGTGGGGGCGTTATAATGTGACGGTCAATCCCACTATTCGTTGGTAAAAGAGTAGCCCAAGAGTTGGCGGTGGGTGGTGATGACTAGCTGCCTTCCCTCTAGTCTTACACTGCTAAATTAGGGACGGCTAGCGCAGATAGCCCTCGTGTAGCTTTGCGCGAAATTCCAAAACAAACAAACAATTAATTGTAAAATTACTGATTTTACTGTACACCTACGTCTCACAGCATTTACTTAACAAAAATTATATAGTGTGTCCCCTATTTGTCCCCTGGTGACATTGAAAGAATAAAGTTACTTATATTGAACATGTATAGATTTTCATATAGTAAAAGAAAGTTGGCCATTTTGAATAGTTTCCTCTGGAGTAAAAATCTTAAAAAAACAAGATATATAATTACATTCAAGTAGATAGAACGTGCAGACGTGTCGTTCTGTGTGTGCATGTGCTCTCTACGAAAAATATAAATTTCACTTTGAAAATCTTCCTTGTAGAATGTTCATATTTTGTATGATTTTTCATTACTTCTAGACTTTGTTAGAAAATCATGAAACGTTGCTTAATGTTAAAGTTTTGATGTAATGAATGACTGACGGAGGAAGAGGTAAATAAAACAACAATTAAAATCATATTCAGTGTTTTAAAGCAGTGATAATGCTAAGAATTCAAAAACATACCGTTTTCTGATTGGGTGAATAGCTATGTAAAAGTGTTCCACTGACAACCCACATGGGGGATGGTCTGTATATTGAATATAATAGATATTTGCTGGTAGATATTTTATTAAACCGTATATTTGTACTGAACATAGCTTCACCGAAATGCAGTCTAATCATTATAGGTTTTATATTCGCTTTTCAATCAGTGAGTGCATTTTAATGATAAACGTAATGGTCTAGTGATAATTCATGAATTAAGTTTTTTCTGATAAACAAAATGCAATTTAATATTACAACAATATGATTAATTTGTTAGCCTAATGTGAAGGCATTAAACACCGGCTTACAGCTAGATCAGAGACGAACTCCCACTGCTGTTCAGGCTGGGCGTAAGTTGGCTCACTGCGAATTAATTCCAATGTAAACGTCAGTTCCGGATGTTCTTGTGACATCACCATGGATGTAAGACCACTTCCTGTAAAGTTTGTAATATCCACGCCATATTTTTATTTTTTATCTGTCTGATGTTCATAACTATCAATAAGAACATCTCATCAAAAGTAATCTAATTACTTAGATCGGTACGTAAATAATTACAAATAACATATACGTTTATGAGGATAATCGTATAATATGATTAAAATAACTTGATGTGACATCAAAGCAAATTTTACATTGTTATATTTTCTTTAAAAACCAAATAAGAACAATACGTTACATGTACAGATGTTGTATTTTTTGAGTTTGTATTATTTGTGACCAATTATCTGTTTATAACTTGTTCATTTAAATGTTTTAAGTAATGTATTTTTATTACGTGTAAAATATCATTCTTCACGTTTTATTTCAGTTCTGATTGGAACTGGTTCTATTATATTAACTGGCCTATTTTTTTTTCACTGCGTATTTTTATCTTCTAGGTTCGAGATTACTCTGGAAACTATGACATCAAGTTGATTCCATGCACTGCTACAGACGATATGGAATATTCCCGGCCTCTAGAGTGTAACCCTCGTGACCCAATCACATTTGACCTACAGATTCGATTCCAGCAGGTTAGTGATCCGGTTCCAGCGGAGTTCAGTTTAAACACCCAGTTCCACCTGATGCGTAAGAAAGCCCTTTGGTTATCGGATGGTTCCATGGGTTTCGGAGAGGATTCGGATGTTTCTTTTGTACCAGGTATATAGACAACTTTTTTGGAGTGATTCGATTAGAACAACCAGATATGAGTACTAACTATTTTTACTGATTTCTATTGGTTTTAAAGAGATAACCGAGACTCCACGGGCATAAATTGAATAGTAGGCCTAATGATTTTTAAGTAAATGTCGGAAGTATTCCTACTCCTACATTTAACTCTTTTCTGTGCTATACCTTTAAAAGTTCATCACACGGGAAAAGCTTGTAAATGGCGAGGAGATATTTCTATTGATTTATTATAATGCCTTAAAGGAACCACACGTTTATAAACGTTAAGTGTAGACCCCTGTAAGCTTTTTCAATCTACTCATCTTGAAATCGTCTTTAATTTTTCTACTAATCTAAGCCTCGTGTTCACTGGCGTAAAGCTATGAACTGGTAATGAAAATCTTCTCGCTTTAATAAAATTAATTCACTGCAGTAGAACTTACATGTAGAAATGTATTAATTGTGTTTGTTAATTATTATTGTTAGACTACATTTAATGCTTATTTAGATCGAGTTTACTGAACCTTTACTGTAAGACTGTTCAGTAGAGGACCGATTTGAGACTTTTTTAATTCTTATCGTAGAAGATGACATTGCATTGAACAGTAGATCCAACCAAATATGTTATTTATTTCTGCTTGGGGACTTTTGTTGTAGGTTACATGGTCTACGAACTGTTAAGCCAGTGAAATTATTAGATAAAAGTGTGTTGTTGACGTTTGTTAATCGAGGCACAGTGTACGGTTATGTAGCTATGGGCCTAACTCATAATGTGAACCATATCTTATGTTGTTATAAAATACACACAGTCTTAGAACGTATAAAGTAAATTCAACCCAGAATACTAAGAATAAACTTATCCTTAATTTCGTTTTTGTTGACGCACCTTATAAATTCATAACGGCAGATATGTCCATTGTACAAGTGATATTGGTCTTTACCTTTTGTTGTAGGAGACACAATCTACGGACGCATCATGGTAGATCCAGTCCAAAATCTAGGAGATTCTTTTTACATGACAATTGAGAAGTGCTTCCTTTGTACTGGAGAAGATGGTTACATACCCAAGTACAATCCTGAGAACAACGAATACGGATGTGTGGCTGAGTCTCGTAATTTGCTGCATACTTTCAAAATCATAGTGAGTATTAATGGTGTATGCGTTGTAGCTGGTTGTAACGACCACGACTTTCAAAACACGTGCAAGTATTGCATGCTTACGAGAAGAAAAGTATCAGATGATCATTTTGTGAATTGTTTCAAGTATATTAGATGAAATATATGGCAAACGTATTTATTGTTTTTTAAAATTATTTTTATAACTTTAGACTTAACATAAACCCAGTAAATGTATTCATAGAAATAAAAATACATATTAAGTTTGATGTCCAAAAATATTAGATAATTATACTGTACAAGATAGAATCGAGTGTTTAGCAGACTTCTTTCATGACAGTTTTTTGCTTTTCCACTCTCTGTTAACTTGAATGGGCGCGGTTGGCCCTATGGTAAACTTCTAAATTTCTGAGATGAAAAGCCGGTTTCGAATTCGTGAGATACCACAAAATGTTTCCCTCATTTTTAATCTGTGGGTGCGTTATAAGAGTGATAGTCAATCCCTTAGCATGGATGGTGGGTGGTAGGGTGCTGCTAGCTGGTCACCTTCTCTCTGGTCAGTAGTTCAAAATTAGGGACGGCAGTAAATAACCTTAAGAGTTTTGCCATAAATAAAAAAACAACTTAGAATAGCTCTCTTTGGGTTATCATAACTCCTCAGGATAGACGAATAACAAACAGTTATGTAAAGCATATTAAGTTACGCAGCGAACGACGTTGTTTCTTTCTTTACTTTCCTTAGGACAGGGGTGCTCCTAACACAGTGAAAAGAAATTTCAGAAATGTATCTTTCAATGCTGTGCTGGCTGTGGATGACAGAGAACCGGAAGTCGATCATCTGAATCACCAGCCAGGTGCTGATGGTTTCCGTTTTCATTCCGCCCCACTGTTTCAAGTAAGCTACATTTTATAACTAAATAGAAGTTTGGTCAATGAGTAACTGACACCCTTTTGTTATAAAATTTTCAGGATATTCTCTTTATTATAAATCTTCGTGATCCAATGAGTTTTGTGATTTTTTTAGAAATATATACATCTTATTATCTTAGAAGATGTTAATCAAAGTAAATATCTATTAAACGAGTATTTAAATTATTGGTGTAATATATATGTAGAATGAAAAAAAGAAGAATTATACTGATTATCTTAAGTGTATTTCAGTTAAACTCGATTAACTTGCTAAAAAATCAGGAACGTTGTATTTTGCACTAGGTGTCGTCTGGGACACAGTGGTTTGTTCACTGTATCTATACTGTTCGTTCTAAAAAGAATGCTGCCAGGGGAATCGGAAAACGAAGTATTCCATATCATATTTTGCAAAATACAGCTCATACCCTCTCACGGCGTAAGAGGGCGCCAAAAGACGTAGACGAGATCGGCAAAGATGGGCTTGGAACCAATATGAACCGCATTGTGCTCAACTACAGAAGAGACACCCTAGCAACGTCGGAAAAGGGAAATACGGGTGACAAAGGTGTGCAGCAAATTGGTCCCAACAATAAATCCAGCAACACCGATATCCCTCTTATCCCAGTCATTGCTGGTGTCTCATGTTTTCTCCTAGTCGTCGCTGTGGTTATTGTTGTTTTTGTTCACAGAAAACGGAAGTCAAAAAATAAACTCCCCCCTTCCCACGCGTCAACTATCGTTACTTCGAATGGGCAAACTCGACTTATATCCCCACAGCATTTTAAGGTTAGCACTGCAGATAACACCGAGGTTTAAAATAAAATGCGAGTAATAATACCATTTGAATTTATAAAGTAAACATTGATATGACGAACTTTGCTTTTATGTGGAGAAATTCGGTGTTGAACGTGAATTTTATAACAGGACGCGTGTGACTGAAGTTTTAATCGACGAACTTTTAGGCACGGTTGCCGCGCTTGGTCCATAAGTTATGACGACCAACCTATCTTTGCAAGAGCTTTAGAAAAGGCCGTCTTCGTTTGATACAGCAACAGAGAAAGCTTCAGTGGAATTTTGTAATCTTTTGGATAACGCAAAATAACTTACCCTTTAGCGCATGCGCTTCGTCTTCAACAGTGGACAATTTTGAATATTCACCTAAACAATCTTGTGTTTCTGGAAAGGTAGAGTAACATTTGAAAACTGCATAGGTTCTTTGTCTCTAAATTTTACCAGGTTTTCTTGTGTTGGTGTTTTATAAGTACTAGCGGTTTGTGCCATAATTATATTTCTTTGTGATCGCTGTGTCATTTACTCAAATCCAAAGGTTCGTTCTATTTGCAAAGCGGAGAAGGGTGTGTAGAAAGCTTTTGTAAAGTTTGAGTCTTTTATTCGATTTTTCATTTATATTTTTGTTTGGTTAAATGTTAATGAATCAAAATCAGACGAACTTAACACTACGAAGTATTGGCCCAATATATTTCATAAACACTCTCGACCCTCTTCAATTTTGGTAGGTTTACGATTTCTCAAGTCAAACTGAGTTTCTGTCTAAAATTAAAACACATTATAAACAGATCAGGTTCTTAAGTGACCATTATAAACATTATAAATAGATCAGATTCTAAAATGACCATTACAAACAATATAAACAGATTAAATTCTAAAGAGATCATTACAAACCATATAAACAGATCAGATTCTAAAGTGACCATTATAAACAGTATAAACAGATTAAGTTCTAAAGTGATGAAGAGATTAAGACTAAAAATCTTCATCTTAAACTGTTTAATTTCACGTTAATTTCACTTGTGGTTTTTTTTGTACCCGATTTATTTCATATCTTAGCCCCCCATTGAATCAAATTAGGCCCAACTAATTTGCCACTTTGTTTGTAAAACTTTTCTTGAACTCCCCTAGTTTTCGCTGGCCTTCAGTAGGCGTATATTTGACAAGCTTTATTCACTGCCAACTTTGGCTCCTGTAGACACGAATTTTGACTTCAATGCCTATGCCATCCATACGAAACCCTCTTCGTAGTAACAATTAGGTTGGATGTTATTATTGTGCTTGTTTTTTTTTGTTTTTTTTAAATATCAATTAATACTTGCTAACGTTACAATATCGAAGACGAGCAGCCCATAATTGGAAAACTGATTCTGATTAGAGTTTTCTTTATTTTTTATTCGAATTATCGTTGTTCTAAGGCAGAAACTGTACCGTGGTTCCTATAAACACTAATAGTTTATTGTAAAGGAATACATTTTGTTACATATTTTAACGTTTTAGTATAAATTAAGTCTTAAAATTTGATAAACGAAAACAACTGGCGAATTAGAAAAAAAAGTAATTATTTAAATAGTAATTTTTCCTTAATGTTTTTTTTTAATTAATTAAGGAAAAAAGTTACTAAAATATTTAGAGAAATAACTTAATAGCATAAAGAACAATGAAAATTAATACGTTTTATCGATAACGCTATTTTCTAATTGATAACATCACTTGAATTTTTGTATAGAATTGTTGTTCAAACTTGAACGAGTTGGATGCTAGACATACAGTAACTGGTAGACACAAGCTACTACTTTGGAGAGATTAAAAGAAATTTTTAAAGAAACTCGTACATAAAAAGCGCTTTCAAAATATGTGCCTTATAATTTCGTAATCACATGTTTAAAAAATATAGGATTTTATTTTCAAATACAAGCCACATTTATGTACGAAGTGGGCACTTAATGTCAAATAATAAAGTCTGTTTATTGTGCAGTTATTAGTGAAAATAAAAAACAATTCAGCTGCCGAAAGATTAGGAGTTTTTGCACAAAAATTATCAGAGCCATCTATCGGAGGATTATCCAATGGATTAATGACACGTAAAATCGGGGTATTAAATTCATTATCTTGTATCACAAAGTAGATTTTTTTTAAGAAGATGGTTTTCTTTTGTTTGTAATTAAGCACAAAGCTACACAATGGGCTATCTGTGCTTTGCCCATTACGGTTATCGAAACCCGGTTTCTAGCGTTGTATATCCACAGACATGCTGCTGTGCCACTGTGTGTGTGTGTGGGGTGGGGGGTGGTGTACTTTAAAGAAG